ATCGGTGATCCATATCAATAATTTCTTTGTTTCAAGTAGCCTACATAAAAAAAATGAAATATAAATTAAAAGTTATAAAAATAAAATATTTTTAAAGTATTGGTAATACTACCAACTATTTGATTTAATTATCAATTGCGTAGCTTGTCATATAAAGAACTTTACAAGTATAGAAAAGTACAATTAATAAATACAAATAAATTAAAAATTGTTCAACTAAATTAGTTAATTTTCTAATTTGTTTAGAAAAATTAAAATAATTTAATTAATTCAATATAAAAAACTAAAAAAATTATTTAGATTCGGTTCTTATTTGATTTTTCGGTTCTTGGTCTAGAATTGAAAACCGAACCGAACCAATCGGTTCTCGATTGAGATATCCGTTTGGGTATTTAACTTATGAAGAACCGCTCGGTTCGGGTTCGGGTTTGGTTCGATTCGAGAGTTTTGTCCAGCCCTAATTGGGATTCTAAGCGTGTGTTTGACACCAGTTTTTTTAAAGAAAACTCATTTTACTACAGTAAACTTATGGCAAAAAGCAAAAGACTACAGTTTCTTGTGTCAGATCACATATTCAATATACTTGACCGTTGCATTACTTTACCCATTTTGCCCTCACGTGTTACACGTACCACTTTTTTTGAGAGGCAAACAAGAAGGGCATAATGGGGATGTCATCAATAATGGCACATGCTTTGTACAAATGATCAGGTGCTTTTCCGGACAAAGTCAGAGCCACTAGACAGAAATAAGTACAAGGGGCCCCACACGTCATGCAACCTACTATTGAAAAAAGGGGAAAAAACGGGTGTCAAACACACGCTAAACTTTTCAAATATTGTTTGTCCTATTAAAAGAAGTTTATGAAGATGTAGTGATGTAGAACGGAACAAGAGAGGGAAAGCGAGAGAAGAGAGGAGAAATTGGAGAAGGAAAATGTGTATTTCTGAGTCTATAATACAAATGTTGTGGAAGTGAATATTTTTGGGGTTGGATGTGTTATGCTGCAATTTCGATTTTTCGGTTCTTGGTCTAAAACCGAGAATCGAACCGAACCAATCGGTTCTCGATTCAGATACCCGTTTGGGTATTTAACTTATGAAGAACCACTTGGTTCTGTTTCGGGTTTGGTTCAATCCGATTCGATTCGGGAGTTTTGTCCAGCCCTAATTGGGATTTTAAACTTTTCAAATATTGTTTGTCCTATTAAAAGAAGTTTATGAAGATGTAGTGATGTAGAACGGAACAAGAGAGGGAAAGCGAGAGAAGAGAGGAGAAATTGGAGAAGGAAAATGTGTATTTCTGAGTCAATAATACAAATGTTGTGGAAGTGAATGTTTTTGGGGTTGGATGTGTTATGCTGCAACGAGAGCATCAATTTAGAAGTTTGGTTATTTGCTTTTCAGAATCAAATACACTAAGCTAGAACAAAAAATAGAGAGGATTTTTTTTTTCATTTTTTATTTTTTTAGGAAAATTGCGATATAAAGGAAACCTCAAACAAAGCTGAGCAACAGTTCCATGTGAATAATAAAAAGATGATTTTTTTTTATTTTTTTTTATTTTTTAATTATGAATGATAAGCAATACGAAAACAAAGTAACAAACTTTCTATTGCCAGTTGAACACTCTTCTTTGCCTTTGCTGCTGCCCTTTAGTTTTGTGTGTGGTTTTTGGATTGATTTTTGTTATAGGATGATTGGGTTTAATGTTAGCACGGTGGTTGAAGGTGGTAAGCGCATACGGATGTGGTTGTTGCTAAAATAAATTCTTGAACTTGAACATCTATAAAAATTGTTTGACCGAAGGAAATGACTTTCTATGATATCAAATTGACGTAGAACACAATTGAACAAAAATGAGATTGTGAAAGAGGAAGAAAGGAGAAAGAGAAGAAGAGTGATAGAATACAAAGAATTTAGAAGGAGAAATTATTAGTTTATCCAATATCAAAGTCTAACTCTTAAAATGCATGAGACCTTTTATATAGGGTTTAAATTAATTTAATTTGAGTAGAAAAATACTAGAAAATCTATTAAATAAAACCCTCATTATTTTTCCTAAAATAAGTATTCAATCTGGAAAGTAAACAACTAATAGATACTAAAAAAAATATTAAATAAATACTTAATTACGATTTCTAAAATAAGTATCTAATTTGGAAAGTAAATTAAATTATATTTGTACTAGCATTCCCATCACTTTTTCCCTCAAATTCTTCTATATCTTCGCCCATTTTTCCTCTTTCTCTTCACTATTTCTATTCTTCTACGTCATGCAGGCTATGAGTAAAGATAATGAAAAGGAGAGATTTGAGGACCCAATGTAGGCTGTTAAGTAAAGATAATGAAAAAGAGAGATTTAAGGACCCGAGTCCTACTTGGTGCTAATGCCGAAAGACGGTTCAAGAGTGTAAGTTAGCACTGATTGATGCCTCTGTTTCTAAATTCAGTGCTCTACATGTGGTTTATTCCTTGATATTGTGTGTTTCCTAGTTGATGCGTTAATCTTGTATTCCAATGAGTCATTGCAGCATTGTGGTGAAATCAAGTCTTGCTTGAACTTAGAGCTGTTTTCTAAGACATTGAAGAAGATTTTAGTTTATATTTGTGCAAATTGTGTACTATAACTGTCGCCCTGGCTAATAGAGTTGTAATAATCCAAAGAAAATTTTGACAATTCCCAAGAGTTAGATCCATATCCATGTCTGTGTTTGACACTTATACCCAAGTTCAAGCAGCATAGTTTTTGCCTCTTAATTCTTGGTGCAGTAAGATCATACTTACGTTGTGTTCTTTTGGTTGTTTCAACGTTCTGATTTGACTTTTAATTTAATTGAATCATCATTGCTTTTTATTTCCAGGCTTTGGACACATTTAACACTGCTGTAGTTTCTCCAATCTATTATGCAATGTTCACATCGCTTACAATTTTTGCCAGTGCCATAATGTTCAAGGTATCTAAGAATGTTTGTCTCGCAATAATATTACAGTGTTGCTATTTTTGTTAAACTCTAAACCGGTACTCCACTACTCTAGGATTGGGCTGGTCAGAGTGCTAGCAGCATTGTTTCGGTTCTCTCTGGATTTATTACTGTACTTTCAGGTACAATGGTTTTACACAGTACAAGAGATCCAGAAAAGACAGCAGCTGCAGGTATGTGTCTCTACTTGTGCATGAATATTCATTGAAACATCTACTTTCTTTGTTTGCAGCTAACTTTGTTTTCAGTCATTATTGGAACTTCTACTTTTCGATGATTGTTGCATCTAGCTTATAGAAAATGATGTAATTTTTATGAAGTTAGCACTGAGCACTTTCTGTTTCAAGTTGTCCACTTGATTTTATTTCTTTTCAGTTTATGGTAGAATTATTTGTAAATACCTTTTCTTTGCTCTGCACCAAACAAAGCATGCTTGAAGCATTCCCCTAGATATCTGTGTTTTGCCTTGTATGAGACTGTTTTTACTCAAATTCTTAATTTATGAACCTTATTGCTGATTCAATTGAAATTATTGAATTGAATAAAGAGATATAATCGGTGGGTTTTTTTTTAGATCCTACTAGGATAGGAATATGTATTCTAGAACCAGGATGAATGACCATTGTCAATTCTCAGGTGAGAGTTATGTTTACTCGTAATTGAGAGCTTCACCCAACTGAGATGTGGAGAAATCATGTTATCTCAAGAGTATGTTTGGTTAATCCTTCAAAAAAGTATTGCTTTTTTACAAGCAAAGACTTGCTTGTACAAGAGTAAGTTTTTGAACTAAAAGTTTTACTTTCATTTTGACAAAAAAAAAAAAAAGTTACTTAAAATTAAACTTTGAAGAGTAGACATGCTTGGCTAAGCTTAAAAGTTACTTTTTTTTAAGGCATAGACGAACATGCTTTTATTCACTTGAAAAAACAGATCCTCTGAATTTTTTATTTGGGATATTCCATCTTTCCGTTTTGTTTATTAATATGGTGGCATGAATATAGGAGTTCAATATCCTTGTGCACTACCCTTTCTCATTGTTGTTGTTTGTTACTGATATCATTATGTTTTGTAGGTCAAAGTCGACTGCCATAATTCTATTGATATTTTGCAGATTATTCAGCACTACCTCAAATATCATGGCGGGTCCATGCAAATGGCGAAATATGGAAACAAAAAGACAACGATGAATTGCACCCTGAAGTTGTGGCAATTATTCGGCAAGAACATTTTAAGTAAGGTAACGGAACTTGGACGATCTTGTCACTCAAAGCTATCTCTAAATGTTGTCTTTCAAGATTCTTGATCACGAACTTCAGGTTGATCTGCTGTTTGAGGGTAGGTCAATCATAGCTTTACTGAAACTCAAGGGTGCTTTTTTTTTTTTTCACAGCCCAGGCTTGATTAGCATCAGTATGCACTAGTGTATAATAATATTAAGGCATTCTTTGTGCTCGTATGCACTCTAAAGATAGAACCACATTGTATTTTTATGCCACTGAAATGTCTACTCTTTACAAAAAAGATGAAATGAAGAAATTTACCATTTTGTATTTGACATTGAAGATTATGCTTTTCTTTGTTATTGTCCAAAGTATTTATCTTATGCCATGTTTGCTTCAATATGCTTGTATAGTTTCAATTTTGGCATGGTCATGAAGTCAAGTGAAAAGCTAAAATCTTGTTTAATGTACAATCTATCTTAGCCGAAGCCAAGTTATGTGTACATGGCTACTTCCATTTTGTACAATAACAGCCGAAGCCAAGTTATGTGTACATGGCTACTTCCATTTTGTACAATAACAGCACAATGTATACATAACGATTAATTTGTACATACAGAATGAATATAAACATATGATTGTGCACGCGTCTAGCACACGTGTCACTGTCCCAAGCATATGCTCTGCACTTGGCTATCCAGCGTTTACCATGGGCACGATAATTGGTAAACTAGATGTGCGTCCTTTCCGTTCCTGTCATGCATTTTGGTCCCACTATTCCTTGTTTTGCTGCACAATCAAAAGTTACGAACATTCTCCAATCCAAAGTTCTTGAGTGAAACCAAGCTTGAAACATGAAGCATTGCCTCGATACTATTAGACCCTCGTGGTTGTTCGAGGTCAACTTCTTGCCCGAGATTACTCTTATTGCAACAGTACAGCATAAAGAAGTCCCCCCATAGCACCATAATCACACCATCTTTGAAAACTTTGAATGGATAGACTACTTCAAGTGTTGGCCCTATTAGCTCTGTCATTTTAGTGATGACAAATTGTCGAGTCCACGACTTCTCCACTCCATATTCCTTCATAACCCAGATGTTGATTTCACAATACGAAGTATTATCACATAAACACAGACGATCTTGTAAAACTCCGAGACTCCCCAGAAGACCTTGCGTGCCCGGAAATGGAGCCGGAAATGGTTGAAACACTTCATTTTCAAGATCAAAACATGAAATCAGTTCATGAGTACCATCTAAATCTTGTATCAGCCAATGAATATTTCCATTGAAAAATAACCCAACAGAACGACAACGACGACCATATGCAAAATTCGACATATTTTCATTACTTCTTCTCCATGATTCCGTTCCGAGGGTGTAAACATGACATTCCGACCTTGGAATTCTTACGCATGTTTGCCTAATCGGGTCGAGAACCTGGTGGTGAAAAACTCGAACCACTTTGTATTCACCAGTTACTCTGCTTACCCCGAACCCGTACGTGACTATGCTAGGATACCGAACGACTCCCTTGGGAGCCGGGAGCCTAACATATTCCCGTGTTATTGGATTACAGACGTAAACACTTTCGTGTTCGTAATTCGTATCCCTCAGGCATATCAAACCATTAACAGAGCCATCAAGAACTATATTTGCATCAGAGAATTCACTCAACCTCTTGAGATCAAATTTCACAAGAGAATCATCATCAAGATCATGATGATCAATCTCATCTTCAAATTCCACTACCTTCATGAAATTCTTGAACATATCAGATTGATGGATGACGAGGCCTGGACGAGCCTTGGCAAAATGTAAGGCTGTAAATTTACTGTCGGAAAATATCTTGATCCAGGTTTTGCACACGCATTTGCATCGGAATACGGCTCGGGCAGGGAGCCTCGACAGAATTTCAACCAAAATATCTGATGGTAGGTCCGTTAAGAACCTTTTTTGCTGTTTTACGTATTTGCATTCTATTGAATTCTCCATAGCTGTAGTGGGATAGCTTTAGAGAGGGGATGTATTTTCATCTACAGGTAAGGGTGAATTTATATAGGAGAGATATTGAGGGAAAATTTGAAATCGGCACTTTTTAACGCTATTTCAAGATTCCCATGTTAGTTTCTTGTTAGGTGTTTTCGCCCGTTAAATGACAGGTGGAGACTGAACAACATGTTGCTTGTATATATGTGTGGGGGGGTAGTGTTAAAACGTTTCATAGGTCGCCAAAATATTTAAAAATGGAAAATGATTCTTGTACATAACTATGTTTTATATTTTGTTGATGTGTCGATATCTAAGTGGAGAAGTTTTTGATTGATGAGGTTTAATTTTACTAATGGCCAGTGACGAATTCAGAAATCCAAACGAGCATGAAGGGTCAGGAAAAAAAATTCCAACGAAGTCAGCACAAGAGGCCATAGGGACTTTTCGGGTGCTAGCTCCGCCCCTGTCAATGGTCGCTGAACTTTAGCCCCCGTTTGATAACCATTAGGATTTTGGAATAGTGATTTTTTGGAGAATGTGTAGTTAACAAGTAAAAAAAAAATTGGGTTTACGTGCAAAACATTATTTTTTGTAAGAATTTCTAGTTGAAAATAAGTTTAAGAAAAAGAGTTTCGTTTTAATGGTTGTCAAATGAGGACTTAATTTGTTTCGGACTTACCACTAGTCTTTCAAAAGGTTTCATTTAGGTTATTAGTTCAGTTTGATGTTTATTCATTAACTGAAAATCTTACATCTTTGTGATTTAACTCATCAAATCATTAGGATTTTTAGTTAAATCCTAGAACAATGCTACACTTACAGAATGGGTGGGGGTGGTTGGTTTCACATATACTCACAAATGTAGGAGGGGGTGGGGTTTTTCTTTTTCTTTTTTTTTTTTCATTTTTCATTTCCTGTGGACCCCACACATGTGAGTGGGTGTCATCCTATGACTTAGTGCACATACGTAGAGTGTTGAGTCATAAAATGGATCCAAAGTTGAGCCAGTGATTTGAATGTAATATTTTGTAAAGTTAAGTGGTGAATATGAGACAAAATTAAAGTTTAGTGGCCAAGGTGATAAGTGTAAAATTTAGAGGCCATTAATAATCAATGATTTTAAGTTTTTATTTTTTGCATAGATCTTTATTGAACATATATATTTATGCTAAGTTAGTCAATAATTAGTGTCTGCAAGGATAAACAAATTCATCAAAATCAAATTTGTCATTTAAAAACTCTGTTTTTATATCTTTGTTGATGATTGAGAAATGACGCGACAAATTTAGATCAACTTTATACAATTTTTGGGTAATTGCTGGAATTTGTGGAATAAATATGATTTTTATTAATAACTACTTTCAAGTATGTTATAGAGAATTTTTTTGAGTAGAAGACCAATGCATCTATTCATAGGCCCTTGAGCGAGAGTTTTCCGTCCTCCATCACAACAAACTATAGTGTCGATATTTGTAGCTGTGTAACTATCCTGATAAATGAATTTCAATTAATTGCCGAGTTCGGTAAATCAAGTTATCATTTTGCCTATGTTTTCGATGTTGCCTATATAGATAACAATTAACTATCACTTGAATCATCATTAATTTCTTTTGATTGATGGATTCTGGAGGCAACGACGTCGATGAAACACTTGTTTTAATATAATTGGTCACGTAAGTGGTGATAGTGTCAACAATGAAACAACTTCATATGGAGTAATGGTGATATTTTTAAATGACAGCAAGCGAGGTCGATCGAGTTGGGTGAGAGAGCTAGCTAGCAATCCGACCTTGGATTATATTATTGCAATAACATTTTCAATCTTCTGAAGTGGGTCCAAGGCGAGCCTCGTGTTTGGTCACCAAAAATCTTAAATCTTCTTAAAAATAGCAATGATGATAAATATAGTTTGATAATCTATTATTAATCGTTTATTAGAAAAAAAAAAAAAGAAAAGAAAAGAAAAGAAAAAAGTAATAGATAATAATAAAAAGCAAACTCGTGTCCCTTCATGAGACTTGGTGCTCAGAAGAACTTATGCTGATGCTTTTGAGTCCTTTAATCTTTATCTTATTCCAATAACTTGGACTTTCAAAGCTGCTTTGTTGGTGGGTCCCAGGCATTTTAACCATCTAAAAAAAGTAGGGAGTGAGTATCATAAAGTTGCTTAAACAGACGTGCCGACAGGCTTTTGTCGACGCCTGGACACCGATAATATTTAATATCAATTTAGGTGACGATACTCATATAATTAAATTTATAATTTATTAATAGAACACCTATATGCTAATACCTAAATTAATGTTCAGTACAATCAACCTTGAAAGGTTACTCAATTGGTCAGGTCTTGGGTTTGCTCCCCAATAGTCATCCGTTCAAGTTTCCTCAGAGCCACTGAGATGAATATCTGACCGTAAATTTCAGGATCCCGTGGAACTAGTCGAGGTGCGTGCAAGCTGGCCCGGACATCCATGGTTATTAAAAAAAAAATGTTCAGTACAATCAATTTTGCATAGCATTATTCAAATATGAGACGTATTCTTCGTCACACAAGGCTCCTTATCTTAGGACGAATCGATGGAGAAGGGCTTTCGAATGCATTTTTAAGCTTCTTAATGTCCTATTGTCAATTCCGTTTGCGATATAAGGCTGGCCATTAGACACTCTCCGTTAAGGACTATGCTACTTGTACATATGTCCCTTCATGAGACTTGGTGCTCAAAAGAACTTATGCTGATGCTTTTGAGTCCTTTAATCTTTATCTTATTCCTATAACTTGGACTTTCAAAGCTGCTTTGTTGGTGGGTCCCAGGCATTTTAACCATCTAAAAAAAGTAGGGAGTGAGTATCATAAAAGTTGCTTAAACAGACGTGCCGACAGGCTTTTGTCGACGCCTGGACACCGATAATATTTAATATCAATTTAGGTGACGATACTTATATAATTAAATTTATAATTTATTAATAGAACACCTATATGCTAATACCTAAATTAATGTTTAGTACAATCAACCTTGAAAGGTTACTCAATTGGTCAAGTTTTGAGTTTGCTCCCCATAGTCACCAGTTCGAGTTTCCTCAGAGCCACTGAGATGAATATTCGACCGTAAATTTCAGGGTCCCGTAGAACTAGTCGAGGTACGTGCAAGCTGGCCCGAACATCCACGGTTATTAAAAAAAAAATGTTCAGTACAATCAATTTTGCATAGCATTATTCAAATATGAGACGTATTCTTCGTCACACAAGGCTCCTTATCTTAGGAGGAATCGATGGAGAAGGGCTTTCGAATGCATTTTTAAGCTTCTTAATGTCCTATTGTCAATTCCGTTTGCCATATAAGGCTGGCCATTAGATACTCTCCGTTAATATGGATCAGTGAGTGAGTAGTAACTTAAAACAAATGTTATAAATTGCTTGGTGACCATCTTTTTGTATACAGAGAGACGATTAAATACATATTCCAAAATAAAAATTGTTGATGACAAAGTATTCTTAAACTTATTAATGTCTTACTGTCAATTATGGTTGTCACGTAAAGCTCGCTGTTATATACTCTTCAACATGGGTGGAATTAATATACTGCAAGTGTACGGGTCGCGTTCAAGTAATAAGTGGACCTTTTGAGTGCGAGTTGTCGATCCCTTGAGGAATGTTTATTTCCGATTACACAACTTTAGTCAATTTAATTTTAACAATAAGAGCAAACACAAAATAAAATTTGATTTTAGAAAATATGATAAATTAACAAAAAATTTATAAAATAAGAAAACATAAACACTTGGAAAGTTTGGAGGAAAAAATGATTGGGACTCATGGTTTCGCTTAATCGTCACTTAATTAATTTTTCCACAAACCAATTAACAAATTACTCATTTACGATGCTAGACCCGTTTTTTCAATTTTAGTTAATTACATCTCTCGAGTGAAATTAATCATAATTAATTGGTTTAACCTACTATATCTCTATGTCTATTAAAACCAAATAATCGCATTAAATTTTAGTGAAAATAGCTCAATGGATTACCCAGGGTTATGAGTATATCTCTATCCCCTACACAAATTTAGAGTATTTACTATTTGGTCTAAAATGTATAATTTTCTCTTGAACTATATACAAATCACTAAACTCAATCATTTAATGGCAAAATAAATGAAAAGCATTCAACACAATATTAAATACACATGAAAATAAGCATTTTAACATTAAAATGCAAACATTGAAATCAATCCAAACTAAGTTAAGTTTCCACCATAAATCACAACAATAAAAATTAGCCCATGTTATATAAATGATAACAAACGAAAATATTTATCCAATACAATACAAATGATAGAAATAAATCGATCCAAGCTAGGTTAAGTTTCCACCATAAATCCCAACAATAAAAATTAACCCATGTTATATAAATGATAAAAAATGAGAATATTTATCCAATACAATACAAATGATAGAAAATAATAAAGAAAATATAAGATTAAAGATAAAATCTGTTTTGGATAGATTTACTTGAATCTTGATTCCTCCACTTCTTCTACACCTTTTCTTTATTTATTTTTCTTGTTGTAATCTTCATTTTGCCATCAAAGTATAAAGAAATAGAAAAGAAAAAGAAACTCAAAGAAGAAAAGAAGAAAGAAAAAGAAGAAAGAAGAAAAATTAGAAAATCAAGAAGCTGCTGCCTACTTTTCCCTCACTGTACCGTGTAGGGTTTTCAAATTTTAAAACCAATTTTCCACAAATTGCAGCCCAAGTCCGTAAGATAATATCACGTTAGGTCCCTAAACTTTGATCTTATACAATTTGATCCTCAGCCTTTGATTTTCATTTCGATTCTGTCCTCCATAAATTGCATCAAAGATCCTTAAATTTTATGCTCAGTTCACTTTGGTTTTTAAATTCACAATTTTGCACACTTTTAGTTATTTTTCCTCATTTTTTTTTTCCTTTTTCATATTGATAATTTTTACCTATAAAAACAATAATTACATGATTGTGAGCAGA